AGAGGGCACGAGGAGTCCGCGCCGCCGCACTAGCCCCCGAGGCTGCCGGCGCCATTTTGAATAAGGTCAGCACCCGGAGTTCCGTGGGAGAAAGAACGTGGTGGGGAGACGCCCTCCGGGTCTCGCGACGTGCGCGAGGAGCGCGTGTCCGCAGTGGCCAGCGCACTGCCCGGCCCTTGTCGCGTCATCCCGTAAATGGAAGGATGGATGGATGAATATCTGCATTGCAACGGCACTTTCACACCCATCACCTGACTTCTCACACTCACACGGAGGGGCAGGTGCGGCCGTGTCCACTGTGTAGCGGCGACAATCGAGGCTACAAAAAGCAAAATGCTCCACGTGGTCCAGGGCTCGTGGACGGCCTGAACTGGAAGGGACGAGAGGCTCGTCCAGGACTTTATTTGCAATGTATGGTCCCCTGAGAGTCTAGCGCTCGGTGCCTGGGACACGGGACTCCGGCCGGGTCCTTCTCTCCAGTCTGGTGGGGAAAGTGGACACTTAACACAGTTACAACCAGGGTGATGAAGAATGGGTAACCGGCACGTACTAGTCAGTGCTTCAAAAAAAGGAGAGGATTGTGAGTAGTACACAAAGGAACATTTTTAAAACATATAATAGTTGTGTATTGTTAAAAATGGGATTTTCCCCCTTTTCCTTCTTTTTTGAATATATAACACATACACACGGTACAGATTTTTTATAGTTGTTCTTTTAGCCCTAACCGGTTTGGCTCAGTGGATAAAGCGTCGGCTGCGGACTGAAAGGTCCCAGGTTTGATTCCGGTCATACCTTGGTTGCAGGCACATCCTCAGGAGGGGGTGTGCAGGAGGCACCTGATCGATGTTTCTTTCTCATCGATGTTTCTAACTCTATCCCTCTCCCTTCCTCTCTGTAAAAAATCAATAAAATATATTTAAAAAATTTATAAAGTTGTTCTTTTATTGTATTTTAATTTTTTCCACCACCATTTATCCCCCCCATACAGTTCTCCACCTTCACCCACCCACCTCTCCCCTGCAATCACCATACTATTGTCCATGTCCATGAATTCTTTCTCTTTTTTTTCTTTCCCCCAGCTGTCAGCCTGCTATCTATGAGTCTGTCTCTATTTTGCTTGTTAGTTTCAGTTTGTTCATTAGATCCCACATATGAGTGAAATCATAATGGTATTTGTCTTTCGCCACTTATTTCACTTAACATAATGTTCTCCAGGTCCATCCATGTGTGGCAGAGGGTAAATTTTTCTTCTTTTTTTCCACTGAGTAGTATTCCATTGTATAAATGTGCCATATCCAGTCATTTACTGATGGACACTTGAGGTCCTTCCAAATCTTGGCTATAGTAAATAATGCTGCAATGAACATAGGGGTGAGTGCACATATTCTTTATTTTTCTTTTTTTAAAAATATGTTTTCATTGATTTTAGAGAGGAAGGGAGAGAAATAGAGGGACAGAGAGAAATATCTCTCGGCTGCCTCCTGCACGCCCCCTACTGGAGCAACCGAGGCATGTACCCTGACTGGAATTGATCTGGTGCCCTCTTGGTTCATGGGTCAGTGCTCAACCACTGAGCCACACCGGCCTGACTGCACATATTCTTTCAAATTAGTGTTTTGGGTTTCTTTGGGTATATTCCCAGAAGTAGAATCACTGGGTCATAAGGCAGTTCCATTTTTAATTTTTTGAGGTATCTCTATACTGCTTTCCACAGTGGCTGCACCAGTCTGCATTCCCACCTACAGTGCACGAGAAGGGTTCCCCTTTATCCACATCCTCCCGGAATGGAGTAGAGATGAGGTCCAGTGTGAAAGATCTGATGCCCAGGGTGAGAATTGGACCTTCCATGAGGGTGATGGTGCCTGGGCACAGTTCCTACTACTGTAAAATGGTCTCTGTAACAACTAGGCCCAGAGGGCCTGGGAGAGGTCAGGGCAAAGTCCAACACACTTGTTACAGAGACCACTGAGCAATAGTATGAACTGTGCAGATTTAACAGCTATGTGTTCTAGGATGTAAATAGAAAATTGCTAGTAGAGTAGATTGTTTTATTGGAGTGACTGGTAATTGCTCCAAATCACTAATTAAATGGGCAAGAGCAATTGAACCCATGTTACAGGGCCACGAGGGAAGACCATAAAGGCAAGGAATGAAAACGGCAGACAGTGTTGAAGAACTTGATCTTGCCTGGGGTGTTTGGGAAGCAAATCTCCCAAAGGGAGGAGAGACTTCCTGTTCCTCCCTACCCCATCATGCATCTGGCCTCCAAGTCTTATTGATTCTGCCTTCAAAACATTTACTCCAACCCTAGCTGGTTTGAAAGCTCAGTGGTCAGGGCTTAGGCAACCAATCAATGTGTTTCTCTCACGTCGATATTTCTCTCTGTCTTTCCCTCTTTCTTCCACTCTCCCTGAAAATCAATGGATAAATATCCTCGGGTGAGGATTAACAACAACAACAATAAAATATATGCATTTATTCCAGCAAGAAGAAATCTCTGTTCATAAATTCACCTGAATATATAATTAAAGTTTTCTATAACTCAACTTAATTTCTATTTTGAACTCCCATTCTGCTGAAGTGGCAGAAACTTGATCTCAACTAATTGAGGGTTTTACCCCTTCTCTGGAGTTATATTTAAGGCCCTGAGCTCTAGTAGTTTGGTGTGTGTGTGTGTGTGTGTGTTGGAGGATCGAGTTTTCAAGGTCTTCCATGCACACAGGCATTCATAGAGATACCTTTGGTCCCCACTGGTTACTGGCGATAGCTGGCTGTTCTCAATCTCTGCTAGAGACCATAGCTCTCTCCCTGCCTCATGCCACTCTGGCCTGTGGGAATCTTGCTGAGATTACCTAAGGTCCTTTGTGCCTAGATATATCTCAGAGACATCTCCACACTGGATTTTGCTGCTCCCCATGGCAGCATTCCAATCTCTTGGATTCTTTGCTCCTTCCTCGGGCCCCTCTCTGCTCTCATCATTTCCCTCCATCTACCTTCCCTTCCTTCCTTTTCACCAGACCCCTGAAGCCCTCATTTTGGGGTTTCTGGAGGACCCAAATAGATGGCACTGTCTTTCTGACTAAGGTTCTAAGCATACTGGAAGATGAAGCAAAGTATAGGCAGGCAGAGTCTGGATTATTCCCTTATTACTGACAAAGACCAAGCATTTGCTTATTGTGGGCTTATACTAGTGTATTACTGAGCCCCTGGGTTAGGCAGACTCCCCCACACTCCCTGTGATGGCAGTGCTTGACTGGTAGGCCTCCCTCCCAGAGCCCCTGGAGGGGCAGTGAATTTGTACCCCTGCAGGCAGGCATATCCTAAGAGAAGAAGAGCAGAGCTGAGCGGAGCCTGTACCATATTCTCCCCAAATACACTGATCAGATGAGTTACTCTCTCCCAATTGCAGAAGTATCTTGCCTGTGGCGCCTCTTCACCTGGACCAGTTCTCCCTATTCTCTTGCTCATGAAGTTTCTTGCAACTTTTTAGCTGTCTGAGATTTCACTCCTTTTCCCTAAGTCTTTTTGAAACCAAATACAGAAGTACTTAAATCTTTTCTTAATAAAGTTTTGGAAAATAGACAAATGTAGATAGAATTCTATAATGAATTCCCTTGCAGCCGTCACTCAGCTTCCACAGTTATCAACTCATGACCAGTTCTAAGTCATCTATAACCACTCCCCAAAACTCCTGTATTATCTGAAACAAGTCCAACACATTCCAGAATGATTCCTTACTTTGTTTTCTGCCCTGTCACATCCCACCCCTGATGGGCAATGAGCACAGAATGGACCAACTATTTGAAAGAGGGTGGGGGTGAGTTACTAGAAAAAAGAAAAAAGAAGGGAACATTATGAAAACATTATCCTCCATAGTAGGCTGTTTCTATTTTCTTCATTACCATTGGAATTTAAGACTCATCATTTATCTCTGGAAGCTCCCTCATAATTATTCTCCTTGCTTCTTTTCTCCCTCTGGATTACTGGAGTTTCTTTAAGTAACCACCTGGACCAGAATCACTTTGAAAACTTGTTAAAACTCCGATCACTGGGCCTCTCTCCAGCCCCATTGAATCAGACTCTCTAGGGCAGTGGTTCTCAACCTTCCTAATGCCACGACCCTTTAATACAGTTCCTCATGTTGTGGTGACCCCAAACCATAAAATTATTTTCGTTGCTACTTCATAACTGTAATTTTGCTACTGTTATGAATCGTCATGTAAATATCTGATATGCAGGATGTATTTTCATTGTTACAAATTGAACATAATTAAAGCATAGTGA